CCAAACATCTCTATGAAATTAACAATATCAATCTAGACCACCAAATCCCAATTATGCAAGTTCCTCCGAAAGATCAAATGACTATTATCTCAACAACAGAATAATTCCTTCCAATTTTTCACAAGAGACAATATATATATATATGTGTGTGTTGTTTTGTATATTACGATATCAACACATCAATATAACATAAGTAAGGAAGTTTAAATGAAACAACGTAGTACTATAAAATTAAAATGAAAAAAGTATCTATAAATAAATATGAAATCAAACTAATACCCATAAAATAAAAATTTATATATTAAAAATATTCCCAAAGTATTGGGTGGATTGTCAACATAATTGAGCAAGATCACCAAAATATGAGCACAACAAAATATGTTAAAAAATGTCCAACATCCTTTACAAAAAACCTATACAGAAACAGAAAATGAAAGCGTCCTAAACCACAAACATCCACTAATTTACGATCTCCATTAGAAAATTAAAACTTGAGTGCATCATTCTCCTTCACACCATGCCTGAAACAAAAATACTTCCAACCTTCTCCTATCTTGACAGACTTCTTTGGTTGATAACAAATGAGAACCCTACACTTCACATAAGACTTCGACAAACCACGCGGCATTGGGTTTCTAAAACCATGCTTCCTCAGGTATCTAGCAAAATCAGCAGGCAAAAACTGTGCAATTAAGGGAATAAATGTTAATAGATGATAATAACTTATCATTATAGAGATGTGTGTAGAAACTTATACACAACACTTTGATTGTTGACTCACTGAATCATATCATGGAAAAAAAAAAACACACATAATCATTACATGATTTTTAATTAACACGCTAAATTGACATAATAACGATAAGTCTTTATTCTTTAATAGATATTAACTCACAACCTTTCATCTTCTAACCCATCATTAACAACTTTTTAATTTTTAGTTATTATTTGTGACAGTTCGCTATATGTATATAGTAATCATAGGTTATTTAAATTTCTTAACTGTTCATGTTGTTCACATGTATACGTGAAACAGTCATGATCTAATGTACAAACTGGACGCCCCATAAATTCCACGTCTGCCACCATTGAAAAGAAGGATATGTGGTGATAATAAATATTGGGTTTCGAAGGGCACAAAATTAGGGGTGAGCTGAGACCGAACCGAATCCGAAAAATCCGATAAAAAATATTGCTTATGGATGGGTTCGGACGGGTCTTATGGATAAATCGGGTTAAAATTTTGATTTTATACGGGTTATATTGGGCGGATTTGGTTTTGAATTTTTAAACTCGCTAAAAACTAAACTCAACCGAAAATGAGATAAGTTTAAATTTTTATTACTTTTGTATAACTAAACAACAATGGTCCAAACTTAAAAGTCTTTATTTCAATTATAATATAGCCATCAATTTGTAACTTATTTTTTTCCTTTTTCTCATAACTTAGATATTTATTTTATCTTCTCTTTCCTCATTCAACTTTTTAACACACTAGTCCATTTTGAGTACAACTTGTGCGACTGTGATTTTTTATGGATTTTGTAATCTAACTTTAGATTTCTTTTGCATGTAACAACTATGAATTTTGTTATCTTTTACTTTTTCTTCTTTAGTTTGTAAATGTTTCATCTACGAATCTATTTACACCATCTATTGTCACCTTCATTCTATTTTTATACACTTTTAAAAATATTTTTTTTATTGTTTTAAGCTTCATCTTCGTTAAAATAAATTAGTCTACAAAATAATTCAAATCCGATTGTACCCACCCGCTCAAATCCGAATCTGTTTCAACTCGAACCGTCTCAAATTGAAAGCTCAGTCGATCGGACTCGGATATGGGTCACATTTTTTCAAAGTCAGTTTACAACAGATTGGACATTTTTCACCCGAATCCGACCAAACCCACCCGTTACTCACCCTTACACAAAACCGTAATAGCCGAAATTATTGATCCATAAAACACGATGGGCCAGAATCCACAAGTTTCAAATTTTTGGGTCAATTCATGGTTTTGTTCATATCATACCCTCACAAGTAGTTGCTTTCAGTGAAGGGCAGAAGACTATTGAAAAATTATTGCATACACATGTTACACGCTTATACTTAATTAAGGATACCTAGACAATAAATTATTGACATATCATTATTTGACAATTTGTTAAGAACTTATTTGACTATTACATCTAATTTGGGCATTCAAATAATAGGGAAGTGTTTTCTTAATTTAGAGAAATGAATAGATAGAATAAAATAAAATGTAGAAACTTATACACAACACTTTGATTGTTGACTCACTGAATCATATCATGGAAAAAAAAAAACACACATAATCATTACATGATTTTTAATTAACACGCTAAATTGACATAATAAATCCTACGAAATCCTAAACCAATACACCCCCCTTAGAGTGAAATCTTAGGAAGGAGTCCTTTTGTTTTTTGGTTTCACACCAATGTAATATGGAACGTTGCATGACCAAAGTACCTCAACATAACTCGGTGATCATCCTCCATACAGTTATTGTAGGACCAACCCATCTTAAGCTTTTTTTTTTCTTCCGGTTTTTAAGTGGTTAATGGGCTTGTAGAGTAACAGTGTTGTGCCTCATTTTTTTCCCCTCTGTTTTATGTTTTCATTTGTTTTAATTAGTTTTTAATTTAGTTTATTCATTTTGTGGTTAAATTTGTAAAGAGTACTAAATTTGTTTTGAATCAAAACATTTTAATTGATTTTAGGAATCAAAACAAAAAATTAATATTATATCAAAAATTTTAATTATATATTATTAAAATTACATAAAATATTCTGCGTTAATTCTACAATAAAAAAATAAGTGTAAATTATACAAAAACAAAAATCTAATTTTTTTTAATGCGAATTGTGATTACATCGCACTGTAAATACTGTGATTTAAATTAATTTATCTTATTTAATCAAATGTTTCATCTAACTATTTATATATTGATTTAAATTAATTAAAATAATTATTATCAATATACATTTTAATCATGTAATAAAACTTATTTTAAATGGATGAAAATATATTTTCAAAATTATATAATTATTCATATAACTAGTAGTTTAGCGTACAGCAAATTCATGATAACTTTATTTTATGTAACTCAAATTTATAAAAACTACATAATTATAATTAAAATTCATAACAATTAAGTATTTGTAATATATAATTTATATTTTAAATTTACAAAAAATAATCTGTATTGTGGTATAAATTTATTTTTAATTATTCAATAGTTTATTTTAAATTATTAAAATTAGTTTAAAAATAAATATTATAATGTTAAATCAAAAGAGATAAATAATTAAAAAATCAATTAAAAGGGATCAATGTCACTAATATAACTAAAAGAGTTACACTAAAGTCAAACCATTAACGCAAAATGACCTTATATTTATAATGGGTCAGCTTATTTTTATTAAAACTTTAAAAATATTACAAAAAAGTATTTCTTAAAAATTATTTTTTTAAGAAGGAAAAAGAATTTTCTTCTAAGAAAAACAGAAAACATGCAAGATAGGCCTTAAAAAATATTATTGAAATAAAAGTATTGACATGATTCACATATATATCAAACAACTGAATAATATAAAAGAAAAAGCTCATACATTAATCCATATTTTTAAAATTGAAACATTTAAACGCTATTGACCATCTGGAAAAAGTAAAATTGTTGATGTAGGCGTTGGGCTTTTAATCCATTAGCAAGAGACTCGCTTATACTGCATTTCCTATCCAAAATTTTAAATTGTGCATGAACTTTTTCCATCATACAGAATCAATTAATTAGCTTATCCCAAAGAAAGAACATGACCAATCATGCTCAATTTTATAATCACAAACCTTAATTAATTGAAGACAAAGACAAAAAACATAAATCACATTTCCATTTTTCAGAAATACCCTCCATTTTGATGATATGGATTTTCATGTGCAATCCACTAAAAAATACTTGCACTTTCTATTGTGCTTCAGCAAACAAGTAACAACCATGGACATTTAACTTTCCTTCTCTGGTCTCCGTTTTTACTGCATCAGAGACAATGGGATATGTTTTTTTTGTAAAGTGAAAATGGTTAAAATTCAGCGCAGGGAGTGTATTATTATTTATAGTTACTCCTCTATATAATGTAAAAAATAGGGTGTAATGGGGGGGGGGGGGGGGG